TCCTCCCCCACCCCCAAAAAATAAAAGATTAATAAAACTTGTCCAACTGGCGAGCAAAAATCGGTGTTTTTGATTTCATTATTATGACGAGCGCCTGATTTTCTTCCTTGTTCCACACACAAATAGTACATACAATTAATGACTACGAGGGACTACTCCGAATATCCTATACTCTGACCGTCTAGCCAACAACACACATCCTCCCAGATAAATACATGGGTCTTGGTCAATGTTGAGCTACACGTTTATTACACCCCAGAGATAAAAAGATACGGGGTTCTTTTCCAGTGTTGAAGCATTATGGTTTTCCCAACAACTTTATCTCAGCTCTTTTTATATTGATTGAGCATGTTGTTCAGAACTTCTCTGAACTTTGAGCTCATGCTATAATATACAAATATATTTACGGTAGAATTGATTGCCACCAGAGCGCTAAAAATGGCCCATGTTAACAAAAACATATTCTGATATCTACCAACGATACTGTACTCGTCAGAAATAACCGTGGCAATGAAGTTGGCTGCACTCGGTAAATAGCATGCGATGAATATACCGGAAATGAAAACTATCATCTTGACGACTTTTGTATCTCTTTTCGAAAAAGATTCCTGTTGAACAGCGCTGGAAGTCGACTGTCGCCATTTTGATTTCAGAAGAAGATTTTGAACAAGAATGATGGTGCATGTGATGATCGCAAAGAAGGAAACAAGCTGGGAGAAAGCATTGATAGAAATAGAGACGTTTTCGATGAAGGCACCGTTAGATATGTAAACTAATCCGATCTTTGTTGCGTTGAATTGAGGGAAATACTTCGGTCCCAGACTGATTGAGTAGTACACAGGCACAACGCTAACAGTCATGGTGACGTATATACCAAGAACTACGATAACAGTATTTCTCGGTGTTATAATAGTTTTCACTTTCAGGGGTAGAGCGATGCACAGACACCTCTCAAAAGTGACAAAAGCCGTGATCCAACTAGAGATGCGAGCAAAGCACAGGTTAAGCCAGCCCGCTGTTAGATAGGTCAAGTCTTGGTAGTGGACGGGCAGATCAGCTTCGACGAACCAAGGGTTGTAACAGATGCTCATCCACAGAAGTGTCACTAACGTTCCCATATCGGAGATGGCCAGACCAAACAGAGTAACGTTTACGGTGTCTTTAAAGCCCTGCTTGAAGAATACTATGGCGTTGATGGCGTTGAAAATTGATCCAAGAAAACTGATGGACCCCGCAGCGACGACCAAGAAAAAGACAACCAGAATACCTAGAAGGTCATTGCCCACCAAACCTTTCACGCTAGACTGTAAGGGTGTGACGTTCCTGTGATTCCAAGAATCCATCTCTGTATTCAATGACAGTGACTTCTAGAACACGTCGCGATGACTTTAAGGATCACTGTAACCTGTTATAAAAAGATCCAAAGAAAATACGTATTTTTTATAAAGAAAAAATTTGCTGTAACACTTCAAGCTCTGTTTTATAAGGGTAATGGGTGATCTGTTATCTATTCTAATCCAAAGTATGAAGAAATCTTGGAAAGACACACAGTTATGCCCCTACATTCAACGTAAGGGGTGAAGGGAGAGTTGGAAGTGCGATCATTAACTAGATATTTGACGGATTACTGCCTTACTCAGTAGTTGTCCGCCACACCAGCATTATCTATCTATCTATCTATCTATCTATCTATCTATCTATCTATCTATCTATCTATCTATCTATCTATCTATCTATCTATCTATCTATCTATCTATCTATCTATCTATCTATCTATCTATCTATCTATCTATCTATCTATCTATCTATCTATCTATCTATTTAATTGAAATGAAATGATTATTAATAATTCTAGAAAACATGTTCTCGTACTATGAATCACCATACCACGTAATCGTGTGTTCTATTGTGGAGTAGAAGCGTTATAGATCTAGTCATTTTTCTGGCTGAGAATATTGCAGATAATGATGCACGACGCTTCTGTTTGATCTTAACTAGCATATTGATTCTCTCAATTAAAGTTCGTACAGCTAGAAGACCAACCATTCCTCGTGTACAGGTTTTATTTTAACTAAGTGTTAACAAGATTTTAAACCATCAATTCTTTAAAAATTGCTCCATTTATAAGTACGTACGCAGATCTATAAACATCATATTACTATAAAAGAAATATTAAAAATCATTTTACATCACATTTTGAAATCTTAAAAGAGTGATTAGATGCAAAACGGGGAAGAAAAATTGCAAATTAATGTTTGTTGACGTATCCTTGCTTTACACATTACTCTATTAACACGTTGCCGGGGCTCTCACCGCCTGGAGGTTAAGGTGTTCGCTTCTCATTCAGAGGCTGAGGGTTCGAATCCGGGTAGTGACGGAACATTTTCTTCTCTCAAATTTTCTACCTTCACTTCCTTCCTCTTCTCTAAAATGTTCTGTTGTCTAATTTCGATTTCACTTTCTGCCCAACCGACTCACTTACTTTGCCCCCTCCTCTGGGCTCCTGACTTTTTCTGCAGCCTTTCTACTGCTACTCTGTGGCTCCTTCTTACTGCCGTCTTTCAGCCACACCCCTATTCTTATGATAGGAAAGATCTACACCTAGCCTTCTCAAACAAGAGCGGAAAATCTCGAAGGTCTCGTGTGCGAGTTGTAAAGGTAAAAGATGCCTTGGTGGTCCAAAATCGATAAGAGTAGGCTTCAGCCACATCCTGGTCTAAATTCAAAACTTCCTACACATTGCAAATGACCATTGCGCCCCTATGACCTTATGCAGTTGCAAGCGCCGTAAAACACATACAAAAAATACAAAACAAAAAAGAAAACAACAATAATAAAACAAACAAACAGACGTTTGCTGTAATATAAAAAAAAATATTTTAGCATCACATTTAAAAAAATCTTTAACAAATATTGTAATGTTTGTTGAGGTATTCTTAATCTGCGCATTCCTCTATTAAAGCGTTGCTTGTTCGCTTCGTACACTGTCGCTAAGCAGTCACAAAACAGCAACACAACATGGTCATATTTTATTTTAAAAAAGCAAATTAGTGTATCCGCTAACACAAGAAATGAGCTGATTCATGTCACAAACTTTCAGTTTGCCAAGCCAAGGTCATTTTCATTTTTACTGTGTAAGGTTTTACGTACCTCTAACCGCTATAAGGTTATTTAAGAGATTTGCTCCTATATTTATTGTCAGTTTCCGAGAGAAATAAGCAAGATGAGGACAGAACATTACAAATTTCCTATAGCAAACCAAGTTCAAAAGGCTCCTAGGAGTTTCAATCTGTGGCGATCCGCTATGTGGAGTTGGCGAAGTGAAGGGAGACAGGGAGACGGTTTATGTGATCATGAGCAAAGAAGAGCTCTGAAGTAATTTAAGGCCATTAGACTTAAAACAAAGACGTAGCCAACGTCAATTATCAAGTCTAGAGTACTAAATCAGCTTTAGTGCTGAACTCAGAATGTCGCAAATTAAATGTCACAAATTAAATGTGTTAGCATTTTAACGATGTAGTGGTGTTCTTTCTCTTCCGGCTCCCTCGATCTCTTTGTAAATGTTGCTGCTGTTGTTTTTTTTACATCTCTATCTACCTCAGTCTATCCTCCCCACTCCTTTCAAACTTTCTTCAACTCTCTGTCTGTCTCTCTGTCTCTCTGTCTCTCTGTCTCTCTGTCTCTCTGTCTCTCTGTCTCTCTGTCTCTCTGTCTCTCTGTCTCTGTCTCTCTCTCTCTCTCTCAACATATCTAAATACAATCGACCTCGCATAATTGCCTGTTTCTCAGTACAACCAAGAACGCTGAATCAATCAGTGGCACTAATTGTTACCCTTGTTCAAACACACCGCCAGTTGTTGCTGCACGCTCAGCTGGTGTCGATGGAGATTTGAAGTTCATTGAAAAAACAAAAATTAAGAAAAATTTCATTCCACAAAAAAGTTAGGTGAGCTCGCTGTTTAACCGTTTAAAGAGCTGCTTTTCAGGTGTTTTGATCACGATTTACACACTCTCTTTTTTCCCAAAATGACTCTTTGCCTCACAAGGGATACAAATCGCCACAGAAACAGAGGATAAAGGACTTCGGTTATTATATAATTTATCTCTCAGTCTTTTTCTGAAGATATTCGCCCTTGCTATTTCCCAGTGTTTGTTCACTCATGTCATAGAAAAGTAGCCATCTCATTCTCAGTATTGTAAGGAGTTACAAATTTAAAACGATTGCTCTCAAAGATCCTGTCTCTGATTTTCATTCTAAGTCAATAACCAGTGTAGACTGACTGAACTTGTAAGACGAAATGTTGCGATGAGGATAAATTAAAGTTGTTAAAATTGTATCGATGTTGGAGTGTTCTTTCGCTCCCTACTTCCTTTCTCTCTCTCTCTCTCTCTCTCTCTCTCTCTCTCTCTCTCTCTCTCTCTCTCTCTCTCTCTCTCTCTCTCTCTCTTTGTTACGATTACTTAAGATTTCATAAAAAGCCGTACATAATCTCTTTTCCCCGTGCGCTAGGGGGAAGGTGATCCACATTCACGGAATATCTCATTCTGTTGTTTGTGTCATCGGTCTTAGGGTTTTCCCACTTTCAAGTTAGGGTTTGGTGAAATTAAATGGTATAGGTTTAACGCCTCTATCAACACTATTAGGTTATTTAAGAGGCGGGACCTCCAAGTTTAACGTCCATCTCCGAAAGGACTGAGCCAAGGGATATTCGTGTAAAGTGCCTTTCCCAGGGACACAGCGTCGGACCGAGCTGAGGCTCGAACCCCCGAACCCGCAATCTAACGATAACGAGTCCACTAGGCCACCGACGCCTCCGGGTTAGGGTTTCAAAAAATGTATACTTTCACTTGTGCGTTTTGTATGTTTTACTAACGAGTTTAGGTTATTTGTAAATGATATAACCCTAACTTAATTGAAACAATTTAGATAGTCAATTCAAATGCTATATTGAGTATAGACTCCCCTAACATGTTAAGGCATTTAAAAAACACAACCATATTTTTAAAAAGGGAAATGTGACTCCAACATCATAAATGCCTTTCTAAGTCTTGTCAGGGATTAGACCAGGAACAAACACTCTCCGCCTCTCCATTTAAACTGAAGTAGGTTTTTTAAATAGTGTTCCATGTCTTCTAACTTTTCTATACACCATTTTCTGTGACTCTTTTCCTAGATCCACATGACCTTCCTCTTGATCTCTTACCCTGGGGATTTCAATTCAACAACTTCTTTATCTATGAAACTTCCTGGTTTCCTGAGAGTATACCCATCCATTGCCACTGTATTCTTCTTCCCATCTCATCCAACTGGGAACTGTCTTGTTCTCCTTAACACTTCCTCTTCGGTGATTCTGTCCATCTGATTTTGAGTAGCTTTCTCAGACACTTGTTCAAGAAAGGTTGGATTCTCTTGATATAAATCTGAGATGTGTTTTATGTCCCACATCCATAAAACAAGACTCATGTCACATTTGAGGCGAATATTCTGAGCTTTATTTGGAGCAAGATAACCCTGGTTCCCCACACTATATTCAAAGACATGAAAGCAGCCTGTGCCTTCCGATGTTGAATTTAAATTCAGTTCGACCTGATCTCTTCTGTTGATCTGACCTTTCTGGAGATTTGGTCAAAGATTAATGTTGCGATTTTTGTCGACGAAACAGTCGAGCCTTTTAAAAAAATTTAAATATATCAGTGAACCTACTAGTTCATAGAAGTCACACGAGATCAATTGGCTAGTATTCAGAATATTAATAGGTTAGGCTAATGGTCACTGACGTCTGATACTAAAGAAAGTACATCTGCAGACACGTCTGGCACTATATATCGACCACTGTACCTTTGAAGAAATACGTTAGAAAAGACCAGAAACTGTTCTACACGCAAAACACACTCGCACATATGCACAAACACCCTCATAGACAAACACACACGCACACACAGGCATACACACAAACACACACTGTTACTTGAACACTCAAAAACACGCACATACTCTCTCTCTCTCTCTCTCTCACACACACACTCACACACACGCACAAACATACACACACACACACACACACGTAAACATACACATAGAGACATCCCCTCGCTACTACACACGCATCCAGCATTCGGGGTGGCCTCTGATTCATCGAAGCCAAACACGAATGTTTTTGTACACCATTGATATAATATATTGTTATCTGTAATGTATGATAAGTATACAATCACATGCACCAAATCTGTAACGTAGTGCTTCACGACTACTACACATTGTCATGCTACTCGGCTGTTTCTGGGGTAAGTGTGTTTGCACAGATGTACATGTACATATGATTATAATTTCTACTTTTGGGTG